ATTGTGCTCCACCATGTAAAGTGTTTTTATGAGCCTCGTCTATTAATAATCTTGCCAAAAACCCAAGTTTTGGAATCATTATTGGATGTTTCTTGTCTTCAGTGAAATTGGAGTTGTTAAGCCTCCCACCCACTCTTAAAATGCCCTTGGCGTCCAAGAATGGATTTAAGGTAAGTATTTTACTACTCCTTTTTATTCTTTCCTTTTTTTTCAATGCTTTGATTTCTTCTGTGAAGCTTGCCCTTTGACTTTCCTTTATACAAGTTTCTCTAGCTTGATTAATTTCATCTTTTGTTAAAATTCGATTAATGTGCCTTTCTTCCTTCGGTTTCAGCAGGTCCAAAAATCGCCTACAATAAGCAATCACCCGAAGCAACTTATTGAGTGAAGAATATCGACTCCAAAATTCATCTTCGACTGTAACTATTAAAACTTTGATTTCTTCTAAATTTGTTTCAAAATGTTTCAATTTGTTTTGTGTTATTATTTTTTCCTTTAATAATTCAGGACCATTTTGCCATAAGAACGATTGTAGTAATTCGGGCGGCCGAAGGCCTCGAGAAGCACAATCTGCTGGATTTTGCTTAGACTGTATGTGAGACCATTGGTAAGGTTCGAGACATTCAAGAATTGTTGACACTCTATTTGCCACAAAGGTCTTCCACTTGTTTGGGTGACTGTTGATCCAAGCTAGGACAACTGAGGAATCTGTCCACGCATACCAGTTTTCCTTTGTGATTCTCATCACGTCACCCACTTCTACCAATAATTTTGATAAAAGTACGCCTCCGCATAACTCTAACCTTGGAATTGACACTTGTTTTATTGGCGCAACCTTAGTTTTAGCTGGCAACAGACTGACCTTTATGTTGTTATCAGAATCAATGACTCTCATATATACCACTGCTGCATAGGCTACCTTGGAAGCATCGCAGAAACTATGCAGCTCTATTCTCGTGGCATCTTCTTTAGATCCCAACCAACGCGAAATAGTTACTTTTTCTAAAAGTTTTAGCTCTTTCCGGTAAGTTATCCACTCATTTAAAATATTGTTTGGAACCTCTTCGTCCCAATCAACTCCTGATAACCACAACCTTTGTATAATAATCTTTGCTTGAATAATTGTTGGTGCGATCCATCCGAGAGGGTCAAATAATCTCGCAATATCAGCTATAATTTTCCTCTTTGTCACAGGTTCTCTTAACGTCGGAAGCGTTACCGTGTACTGAAATGAGTCAATATTCCGATTCCAGGTAAGACCTAGTATTTTCAATACTGGATCTGTTTTTAGCTTTAATCCCTTTTCTGCATCCTCTCCTTTAATCCTATCTCCTTCTGCAATTTTTTCTAGTAGTTCATCATTGTTGCTTGACCACTTCTGTAACTGAAATCCCCCTTTGCTTAACAATTCCCTTAGTTCTTTATAGACAGTTACACCTTCTTCTACATTGTGACAGCCCGTTAATAAATCGTCGATGTAGAAATCTTGCAGGACTCGAGTAGCTGCCAATGGATATTCAGCCCCATCATCAAGAGCTACTTGCTGCAAAACCTTCACTGCCAAGTAAGGAGCACATGCAGTACCGAAAATTACTCTTAACATTCTGTAATGTTTTATTTGTTCTGTACTATCTTCCCTCCAAAGTATTCGTTGATAATCGACATGCTCTGGGTGAACCTTAACCTGGCGATACATTTTGATAATGTCAGCTGATAGACATATCGGAAAAGCTCGCCACCTCATTATCATATGTCTTAAATCTGATTGTAAGGTGGGGCCCACCATCAAGTTATCATTCAATGACTTATTATTTGAACCTTTACATGATGCATCATTAACCACTCTTACCTTTGTGGTTTCTTTGTCCTCCCTAACAACCGCATGATGCGGAATATAAATGGCCTTTGTGCTGATATCTGGTGACTTCACTAACTCCATATGATTTAGATAAAGGTAATCATTTATGACATCTATGTATCTAAGTTTCAGTTCTTTATTATAATTGAATTTTCTTTCTAATGATTGCAATCGTTTTTCAGATATTCGCAACGAATCGCCTACTTCAGGAGTTGACGTGTTGAAAGGAAGACGGACAATATATCTGCCATCTTCGTCTCTTTGCACTGTTTCAGCAAACAATTTTTCACATTGCTTTTCTTCTTCTGTTAGTAACTTTAGCCTAGGAAGACTAACTTCAGCTTCTAATTCCCAAAATTTTTTTAACATTTCGTTGTCTTGAACCTGACAATGCATTACGTGAATTTTTTGAGAAGAATTGCGTGAAGTGTTAACAGTACCTGACAAAATCCATCCTAATGTCGTTGACTGCGCCACTGGTGTACCATATGGACCTTTTTTCACTCCATCTTTGATGATCTGGCTATATACCTCAGCTCCTAATAATAGGTCGACTCGATTTGACGTATAATATTCTGGGTCTGCTAAGGTCATTTTAGGGAGCTCATCCCACTCTAAAGATTCTATATTAGTTGTTGGTAAAAGAGTGGTGATAGATTTCAAGACGTATGCCTTCACAATTATGACCACATTTGGATCAATACGAGATCTTATTTCCAGATTTACCATGGCCTTGGAGATTAAATTATTACCTCCACCTACTCCTGAAATTGTGCCTTTAATGGGAGTTTTCTTTAAGCCTAACATTTGTACTGTGGATTCAGTAACAAATGATGATTGAGATCCTTGATCTAGAAGTGCTCTTATCGTAAGTAAGTTTCCCGTTTTAGATAATACTTTAACTAAAGCTGTAGCTAAGAGTACATGCTGACTTATCTTATTTCTAGATATACATGAAACAAACGAAGAAGAATTTTTTGTGTCTAAATTTTGAGTGTTTTCTTGACTATCCTGATTTTGTTCTGGTTGTGTTACTGGATGTAAAAGGCTGTGATGTTTTCTTTTACAAACGTTACATTTAATTTGGTAGCGACATATTTTAGCCGAATGATTATTCCCGAGACAGCAAAAGCAAACCTGGTTATTTTTTACAAAGTTACGGCGCGCGTTAACCGACTCTTTGCAAAACTTTTTACAATTGCTAAGTTTGTGCTCCTCCGAACAGAATGGACAACTGATATTAGTTGCATGCATAGAATTTACCTTAACAGGATGGCAAACTTTATAGTTGGATTTTGAGTCGGAAGGCAGGAATTCTATAGCTCTATACCGATTGGTTAGGAACTCTTGAAACTGATCGTAGTTAGGTAGATCATCCCTTGGAACATTATTGCTTACATAGAATTCCCACTGTCTTCTTGACTCAGGATCCAGTTTTAATGTGATAATATATATTATAAGCACATCCCACGTACTGGTCTTAATATCAAGACTAGCAAGTGAGGCTAAACAATCATTAGTTGTATCAATTATATCCTTTAGACTATTAGCAGATTCGCTTAAAATATTACGTTGACTTAACAGCCGCTTTATAATTTGATGACAAATAAATCTTTTGTTGTTGTACCTATCTTCTAACAAAGCCCAACTTCTTTCATAATTATCACTTGTTATTGGAATATGTTTCAAAAGACGTTCCGCCTCGCCAATTAGAAGCCCTTTTAAATATTGCAACCTTTGGACATTATCTAAATCACAATTTGAATGAATTAAAGATCTAAACAAATCTCTAAACGTAGTCCACTCAGAGTATTTGCCAGAAAATTGTGGAATATTGGACTTAGGTAATTTGACACTATTCCTAATAACCATATCGGTACTTGATTGATTAGCACCCAAGGTATGATCTGCAAATGCTGATAAATTTCTTCTAAGCATCGTTTTGTAATCTAAATAAACCTTCTCTGTGTTATCATATATTTCATTTTTAAAATAGGTCGATTTTGTTAATTCCTTTGAAGGTACAATTTTAATTAATTCTTTATGTCCCGATAAAAATTCATGCCAAAGTTGCTCTAACATTTCTAAACGTGATTCTACATATTCCTTAGTAATACGTTCCTTTGGACTCTTTTTAAAGTTTACGTCTGCTTTCTTAATGCGAGAACTTAAATCCTCCTGACAAAATATTAAGTTGTCCATACGTTCTGCTAATCTTTCCCTTTCTGTACTCATTTTTATTTATAATATATGTAAGAAATTACAACGCTAACAAAGCTTAACAATAGTAGTAATATTTACAAGGTAATAATTACTTAACTAATTATTACTAATACTTTTATGTAATTATTATATAAAAGTATAAAGTGCTTTAATAAATTGCAACTAATATTTATCCAATACAAGTTAGAACTAAAATTTAAGTCTCAAACTGTTCAATAAATTTTCTAAGTGTTTGCAATAAAATACTTGACAAAATCGGACATAGGTTCCTCGTACCTTCGTTTTTAAGAAATTATACACTAAGTTAATGTTACTTTATATGCAAATAAGATTAGAAGTTAAATTTAACACAAATTTTCAAAGATAAACAGTTCATAGAAATAAAGTTCAAATTGGCATTTAAATTTATTATTAAGACACTAAAAGTACTCACAGTTTTGTATGATCAGTGTTGCCGATTTGGCATTTTTAATGCTAAATTTGGCATATTTTTAAATCTGTTGGCATGAAAAAATTGGCTTTAGCATATTGCATATTTAAGCATCTTTCGAATTTTACCTACTAATGATGTTAACTCTTTTTATGGGATAGACAAATTGTTCACAATCACTGCCATATCTATTATATATTATTCTGTACAAAAGATTGAATTAAACCCATAGACAAAAAAATTAAAATTGTTACTATGATTGATTATTATGGCAACTCTGTTATGAATTGGGGAATTTCCCGAATAGTGAAAGATTTTGTTTAGTATTCCGAGTAAGCAATGTGTAATGTTTTGTTTCATTCGGATTCAGAACATTACTTAACAAGTGCGAGTACCGATACTTGTAAAAGCTTTAAAATAAACGTCTGTGTTTTTGTTTTGTGTGTGTGTGCTTTAAAAGTAGTTTACAATTGACTTTTGAGGGAAAATATGCCTCCAAAATATGAACAACATTATCGAGAAGAGTGGGAGAAGATGAGTGAGTTTAAACAATGGCTTACACGAGCTAAAGAAGATTCGACCAAAGCTTACTGCAAATACTGTAAGTGCGACATTATAGCCAAAATATCCTGTCTAAAACAACACATTGTTACATCAAAACATGCGAAACATGTTGCGCCGAAAAAAAGTCAAAAAAAAATTGATTTTCCTAAGGTGCATATTCAACTAGTTACCCAAAAAGCAGAGTGTTCACTTGCATTATTTATAAGTGAACATGCATCTACTCTAACAGTGGACCATTTGTCCGAAATGTGTAAAAAAACATTTTCTGATAGTCGAAGTGCCGATATTAAATTACACCGAACGAAATGTACCAACATCATTAAATTTGCATTGGCTCCACACTTTATTTCACAATTGGTTGCAGACATAGGCCATAATAAGTTTAGTATACTGGTTGACGAATCCACAGACATCTCAGTCACAAAAATTCTCGGCACATCAATCCGATATTATGACAGTTCACATAAAAATATTATCACGACATTTTTAGGATTGGTTGAGATAGAAAACGGGACAGCTGATGCTATAGTAAACGGCCTCAAGACCCTTTTTGCAGAGCTTAAACTGAATATGAAAAACTTGATAGGGATAGGAACTGACAATGCCAGTTCTATGACTGGTGTCAACAACGGTGTTCACAGCTTATTAAAAACTGAAACTGGCAATGAAAATCTGGTTTTGGTGCGGTGCCTTTGCCATTCCCTGCAATTAGCTATCACTCATGCGTCTGAGAAGTCACTTCCGAGAAATATTGAGTTTTTAATCCGAGAAACATATAATTGGTTTAGCCACTCCTCCAACCGACAGTTGTTTTACAAGGAGCTATACAAGACCATTAACTGTGGAAAAGAACCATTGAAAATAACTCAGGTATGCAGTACGCGATGGTTGTCTATTGAGCCTGCTGTCCGCCGGGTTATAGATCAATGGCTGGAACTAAAATCGCATTTCGAAATTGTCAAACAAAAAGAAAATTGCTATATGGCTGAAATGCTTTATTCTATGTATAACGATCCTGTGAATCATCTGTATCTGCTATATTTATTGCCTATTTTAGATGAAGTGCAAAGGGTAAATAAAAATTTTGAAAGCAACGACCGAGACCCAACTAAACTGCTGAATGATTTGGTTGAACTGGTTGAATCAGTCGCCAGAAGAATCATATTGCCAACAGCGCAAATTGATGTGTTAACAGCTACAAATCTTGAAAGCTATCTAGACCCATCTCCATACATGGGCTATGGTTTCGAACTAAAGCTGACTGAATATGAACTTTTACCTGAAGCCGAACGTAATCTGCGGCACCGCTGTAAGCAGTTTACACTTAAACTTATACAAGAAATGCGATCAAGGTTGCCAACAAATATAACAATACTACGAACAATGAGTATGCTTTCTGTACAAGAAACTTTAAAAGCTATAAAACCACCGATAATAAAACTAGCACAAGAGTTCGGCTGCCAGGCCAATGAAATAGAACGTATAGTTGTACAGTGGATGAATATTCGACATACCGACTGGGAAAATAAGTGTTCAACTGTCGAATTTTGGTCGGAGGTTTATGGGTACAAAGACTCGGCGGATAATAATCCATTTTCGGAGTTAGCTTCTTTGGCCATATCTATTCTTTCTTTGCCACACTCGAATGCTGAGATAGAACGAGTATTCAGCCAAATGAATATAGTAAAAACAAAGTTAAGAAATCGTATGTCACTACATACACTGAACTCGATCCTACACATCAGATATGGCCTTAAAAGATCAGGAAAATGTTGTCATTCCTATAACGTTCCCGAAAATGTTTTAAAACAGATTAGAGGGATTAAAGAGTCGCTTGTAATGCCAATGACTATTGCTATTGAAGATGGCCCTTCAACATCACAAGCACAAGCACACGACGAAGCTGATTATTTGATTTATATTGATGATTAAAATTACTTTAAAATAGCACTGCATTTTTAGTTACACTACCTACTTGCAATTTATTTTTATTTCTTATTCATTTAAACAAGACTTAGCAGCTGGCATTTTTTTTTGGCATATTCAAGTGTGATTTAGCATTTTTTTAGCATTATCGCCGCCAAAGTCTAGCATTTTTTTTCATTTATAAAACGGCAACACTGTGTATGATATCACCTTGCACAATTCACTGCACGATTTCTTCCTTATGCAATTTTTATTATCGCCGTTGACATCCTCCGCAATCAAATTTCGCGCGGTGCTGTGGTTCCGAGGGAATATATCTCGCCTCGGCCTTCGTACGATGTGTTCCTGACAGCCTTCTCTGTCGTCGATCTTTCTTCTCACCTCCTTCTAGTGACGTCACAGCAGCCAAACCTCGGTCAGCACGTCGACCTCTGCTGGACACACCGAGCAACGATCCGCTGCCCCTACTAGTGTGGGAGGGTTTAAAGTTCCCTCCAGAACTATCAAAAAACCGGTTTAAATCCGGCTCGAAGGACCATGTACAACACTAGGAGCACTATGGATCCCTCGAATTACGAGAAAGAAAGACACCAACTTTATCACTACACTGTTTAATAAATAATAAACCTTACTTAAAAAGTATACAGTGTGTACGAATACCACACGATAACAATTATTTCTCATTAACTTACTAGATTAACAATAACGCAACCATAGTGTGCCTTAAAACAATTTTGGCGCCATCTATTATTCACTAGATAAACAAAATTACTTAATATTAAACAAATGGATTTCATTATTTTGGAGAACAAGGAGGTGATGGCTATAGGCCTGTAGTTGGACGGGTCTGAGCGGTCGCCTTTTTTAGGGATCGGGTGGACCAAAGCTGTCTTCCATGAATTCGGGACTATGCCTTGGGAGTAGGAGTACCGGAAAAGACGCGTTAAAACCGGTGCCAACTCTGGAGCACACGGCTTCAACACAATGGGAGGGACTCCATCGGGCCCACTCGACTTGCTGATGTCCAGGGAGAAGAGTGCTTTGCGAACCGAGCGCTATGTAAACTCCGGCATGGAGCACTCACATCGCGGGATGGTCGGCGGTGTGTTCCCCCCATCATCTAGAGTCGGGTTGGACGCTAAGAGAGAGCTCAACAGATAGGCTTTTTCCTTTGCGGCGTGGGCCAGTGAGTCGTCCTCTCTGTGCAGAGATGGAAGAGATGGCTGACAGAAGTTCCCTTAGACAGCTTTGGCGAGAGACCAGAATGCACGGGTCCCCGAAGGAAGGCGAACTAGTTTCTCGCCAATTCTGCCGATGTGCTCAGACCTTGCCTCGGCAATGACGCTTTTGAAGGACCTGGAGGCGGAATTTTATTTCTTTTTAAGTGCGCTGGTGTTCACATCCCGAGACGTTGATGCGTCAGCCCAGGCCCGGTAGCACTCCTGCTTATAGCGTGATGCTATTTTGCAGGAGCGACCAAATCATGGCTGGGATCTGCCTCCGATGGGCACCACAGAGGATGGAATAAAAGGTTCCATACTCTGAGGTACCACATCAGCAACAGAATCGGCAACAACGCTGGGATCTTCCGGCGAGAAGCAAACCCGCCGCAAAAAAAGACCGCATCCCGTCCCAATCGGCTGACCTATAGTACCAAACACGGCGGCAAGCTGCAGATCGCAACTGCGATTGGAGTGTGATTGGCACCGTACCCCGGATCAGACAATGGTCCGAAGAGCCCAGAGGGGCATCGACGGAGACCTGATATCCGTCCGGATGAGAGGTCAGCAGAAGGTTCAACAGGGAAGGTACATGGTCTTCCACATCTGGGATCTGCGTAGGCGAAGTAACCAGTTGTGTTAGACCATATGCCAAGGCAAAGTCATAGACAGATCTACCCGCATGATCGGTTAAACGAGAACCAAGCCATTCAGCGTGGTATACGTTAAAGTCACCGAGTATCACGATCTCTGCGGATGGGACCTGTTCTAGCACGGAGTCTGCAGCCATTTGGACGTGGTCGATGAGTCGGTATTACCGCTATGGGACCTATAGAGGCACCCGTAGACGCGAGGATGGTCGTCGCTCTCTATGCGCAGCCATAGGATAGACAGGTCCGTACCTTCAAGACTGCCGAGGCGTCGAAAACAGATGTCCTCTCTGACGTATACGCAAACTCCAGCCCGGGGCACAAAGGAGTGTTCTAATTTGTACTCCGGGTAGGAGAGATATTTAGTATCAGCCGGAGGGGACACCTGAGTCTCGGTTAAAAAGAGCAAGGCCTGCTTCGCCGTCTCTAGATGGTAATGGACAGCGTTAAGGTTGGAATGAAGACCTCTAATGTTGCAAAAATTCACGGATAGCGTGACAGGGGTCGCCTTGGTTGTATTGCTCCGCTTTCCCCGAGCAGCATTAGTCGCGAGCGGAATTTTGCCCCCTCCCCCCCCCCCCCCCCTCCCAGAATACGCGGGGCAGCCTGAGCACCCACGCACAGGAGTGGAGTAGTTTTTTCGTGGATGCTCAGCGAGGGATTCTCCAGGGGTGCTGGTACCCTCCTGGGGTAGTCTTTTATTTAATTCCACTATTATGTTGAGGGGGGGGGGGGGGGAATTGGGCCTCCGGCCACCTGCACTCAAAGCACTCAGCACTCAAGCGCAACGCAGAGGTTAATTTCTACTTCACGCTGATATTCTGTGAGGTCGTGGTACCACCCCGGGTCGAGCCGGCTCATCCGTGCGACAGCAAAAGCTGCCGCTTGGCTCTACCATTGTTAATTGGAACTCTATACCTACACTATTAATATTATAGAGGAAAGATTTGTTTGAATTGAACAGGCTCCGAAACTACTGGCCCGATTTGAAAAATTCTTTCACCATTAGAATCCTACATTATCACTGATGAACATAGGCGATAGAATATTTTCAAAAAGTTAGTGATCCGTATGAAAACTTCGTTAATGTAACCGAAGGTGTGAAAAAATACCAAAAAGAATCCGTATATCGCGCACGCTGCATAGACATATCTTATAGACTAAATTTAAATTTAATTTAGTGTTTTTGTGGGTCTTAGTTATTAGGTAGGGTGAAAAAGATGGTAAGTTGTAGCATTTTAGGATGCAACAGCATCAGTCAACGAAAAATTGATAATATTACCTTTCATTGGTAAGTTTGTTTTGTGCTTATATTTGCTACTTGTACTGATTAATATCTATTGTTTTGAATATAAAGTGTAACATTTCATGTTTTTAATGAACTTTGTGATGTATTTTGTCAAATATTTAGATTCCCAAATTGTAAATTTTTCACGATAATGCTCCTTAATTTGAACGGTCATTCGAAAGCTTAAAGTCATAACAAACGTGTACTTTTTGATTTGGTAGGATTATAGAAACTTTAGGGATATCAGCGAGTACAATAAAGTTTTCGCATTGTTCAATAATAATATTTATTGTGATTAGTAGTTATATCCATAAATATGATTCACATAATGTTATATGTATACACTTTTATGTTCAGCCTTAAAGGAAAGTCCTTATTGCCCTACAACTCTTCAATCATTTTCTATATTACATAGACTTCACAAATAATATGTAAGTATCAAGCTGAAAACATGTTTGGATTCAAGTACATAAACATTGGGCAAAGTATATTTAATTTCACAAAATATGTATTGCCTGAAATCAGATGCACAAAACTTTATTGCATTCCATTAATTCTATTATACATTAGCAACAATTACATTACAATATTTATTAAAAAAATAAATAAATATGTCATACTAATATAAAAATAAATATAAACATAGATAAAATAATAAATAAATAGATAAGTCTTAATCGTAAGGTACACAATAACATAACAATAATATTCTCAATTAATGATGTAGAAAAAATTTGAGGGTAATATACTCACCGTTACCATTAGTCAGTATCAAAAGTCAAAAGTTATAGGTTTTGTGATAGTTGCCTAGCTTGGCAGGAGAATTGGCAACTGTTCAGCTGTGGAGGACATAACTATGTTAGGCTGTAAATGTATTAATTAACAATATCTAAAGCTTAATATGTACATATTTTTTTTAAATGTTTGTTATGAGTAATTGTATCATTACGTTTACATATACTTGCTATTTAATTAAATCAATTGATATTGTATTAATTGTTATAGGTATTGTATTTATGCACAGATACCCATACTTGATTTTTTTTGTTAAATGCCTTGATTTAAAAGTGTACTATATATTTTATATATTAATTTCTTTTAAATATATTATTTCACAGCTTTTCTAAGGAATCAGCTATCCGTAACTGTTGGATAATCGCTACTGGTAGTAATTATAGGTAACCAATAAAACTTAGCAGTATATGCTCAAAACATTATGAGCCTCATTGTTTTAGGTGGACTAAATATACTTAACTTATGTAATTTATAATATAATTAAGATATTTTTTTTAAATGTTATAATTTCTTGTTGTTTCTTCATAAGTGATATAAGTTTGACCTTATTAGTAGTTATGATTTTTGACATTGTTCTGTATGTATTAAAAATTGACTAGCATTGCTTATTTTATTTTCAAATGCTGACATTCTGTATTATTATGAGTTGTAATAATTTGGTTGCATGACAATGACAAAATATTTACTTATAGATGGATTGATTAAACATGAATCCTCATTTACAAATGTTGGAACTTTATCTGTACTACCATATTTTATGCAAATAAAGATTTAAATAAAAGAAATAAATAATTTAAAGACCTGACCTAAATATACAAATGAATAATTTATTATGCAATAATAATTGTAAAAGTGACTGGGAATGCCTACCAATGGGACATTTAGTCCACCTTTAATCCCTTTTATAATAAACAATAATGTGTAAATAAATTAAGAAATAAATGTAATAATTATGATAATTTCTATTTAATTGTCATAAATAATGTAATAAAGATGTTTTTGACAAGAGATAAGTATTACCTATCTAAGTATAGTTTAGGAGTTGTACCTTAT